AGACTGAATGCATGGGAGAGCACTACGGGGGAAGGATCAAGTTAAGCACAGTCTGTGGTGAGGGTAAAGCTATGCAAAGGAGTTGTGACCTGGTAATGATGCACACACATTTGTGTAAAGGCCACTTAGTGTGTTCCATTACATGACCTTACATTGATTGTAGAATACTCTAGGTAAAATGACATATTGCATACCTCTCTTTGCTTCTCTGGCCATTTTATTGCTAGCCAATATAAGATCAAGCCTTGTCTAAACTTATACATCTTGTGGCCATTGATTACTGGCCAAGTTTTGCCACAGTCAAGCCTTGTCTAAACTTGTAATTCGTGTGGTTCTAATATCTGACTTCATTTATACTGTACAGGTGGAAAGGTAAATATTGGTATGGGCTTTGTTTTTATTGCAAGCACATTGTATCTTATTATGTTACATTGTCACAAGTTAGGTTCATTTGTGTAAGTAATTTTTGTATGCCAAAGAAAATAATTCTCCCTCTGCACACACTGATGAATTCAGAAAATACTGCTGCTGAGATTGTGGCTTCTTCTTTTTCTTTTTTTGTCAGAGAGTTGAAAAGTGAAATTTAAGTAGCCCATAGAGCACCAAGGTCAACCTCACCAAACAATGATAGGTACAAGAAAGTAAAATCTGAATGTCATGGGAAAGGACATCTGGAGAAAGATCAGGTTAAGCTCAGGCTGTGATGAGGGCAAAGCTTTGCAGAAGAGTTACTGGCTGATGATGATGCTTACACATCTATGTGGTCACTTACGTGTGTTCCATTTCTTTATTCATCATTAAAAAAGAAAAGAATAGTTTTGGTATTTTACGATCAGTTGAAAAATATAATCATATGACAATTATTCATTTTTTCTGAGTGGCTTGACACATGACTGCTGTTCTGGTTTCCTCTAACTGCTTGTTCAGCCAAGACTGAGTCACACAGACACAAGTTGTTGCCTCTTCAAGTCCAATATTGACAGTCAGACTAGTGTAGTATAGTCAGAACATTTACCATGCGTCTGTCGCTGAAGCAGTCAGAGATCTGCGACTGGAAGTTGCTGCATAATGAGCTCTCCTGTTTCAGAAGTAAAAGAAGTCCATGTGTTTTCCAGGACTTTTGGCAAACTCTTCTTTGTATTTCCACTTCCATCTATCGCAGTATTGGTACTCTATTGAAGTAAAAACAAATAGCGTTGCATTATTGCCATCTGTTAAATAAAGCAGGAGACATAGTCCCAAGGCACCTCATGATACACATATGCAGATTTTCCTTATTTTATATCAACAGCTTTGGTTAGCATTAGCCAGGCTTGAAAGTTATGAAAATGCAAGGAAAGTGTTGAACAAAGCACGTGAAAGTATCCCAACAGACAGGCAAGTGTGGATTACTGCAGCAAAACTTGAAGAAGCCAATGGGAACTCTCATATGGTGGAGAAAATTATTGAAAGAGGTTTGTTTGTTTTTCTTGTTTTAAAAAACGGGTATTCAAATCACATGGTATCCTTGCAGTTTCTTAAAACTCCAAGAGGTGTGGTGTTGGTCATAATGTCTGCCCAAAGCCTTGACCTTCTTCTGCAGATCTTTTATGATACAGAAGTACTTTTACCAATGATGACAAACTGAAAGTTAAAATCTGTTTTCTCTTAGGCTTCCCTACTGCCTTTTGGTTTATAACTTTTCCATTTCTCCAGTTCTCCCTTTCTTTTGGCAAACCCAGTGAATTTAGGCCATCTTTTTCTGATGTAACACACTCTTTTTTGTGAATTAGACATCTTCTTTAACCTACTGATTCTAGGATCGACACATTATGCAATCTTCCGACGTTTACGCCTGGCTACCACGATCGCACCCCCAGAGATAAATTTGTATCTGTATACAGTATTCACATAGTATTGTACAACTTTTAATCTGTTTATCTTTCCTGTTGTAATCTTCTTTAGCCCTAGTTACTAGTCATGTGATTTAGCATTGCATATGGCAGGTTTTAGGGTTTTTTCTTTCCTGAAAACACTGACATGTTTCATCACTTATCCAAGATTTCCTATCGTGATTCTGAACTGACTGTCGCTGCTTCTAAAATTATGGTCTTTACATCATTTTATTTGTCCTCAATGCTGTCATGTCCCTCCATTCCATGTGCCTGAGATATATTTTTCAGCTGAAACTAGAGCCGTTCTCTTATTTGTTCACTGAAAACTCTTTGTTTCACATGTTTTTGAGCAGCTGTTTTTAATTTAAGCTTTAGAGCTTTAGTTTTACCGCACATAAGATGTGGTCACTGCCCACTTCTGCTCCTCTTTATGCTCGAAAACTCTTTGATGGATATCCATCATGAACCAGACTTCTTTAACATCAGAAGTTAAAGCTACTGTACCAAAAAGCTCTAAATCAAAGCACTTTGTTTGGAGGAATAACTACAGAAGCCATTCAAGCATATGGTGAAACTGGCATTATATGACTAAAAAGACTTTTCAGTACAGTGTGGGAAGAAAGGAAAGTTTTACTTGACTGGCAACAGGTGTTAATAAAATACTACCAGTTTGGAAAAAGAAGTGTAATACAAGAAACTGGAGGTAAATCACTTTTGAGTCACATGGGAGAAGTGTATGCAAAGCACAGACAGCTAGAACTATAGCTGAACAACATTTAAGTACATCACAGTTTGGTTTCAGGAAAGAAAAAAGGTTGCACAGATTATACAAGTTTGCTTTAAAAAAAAAAACATTTGATATAACGATTAACTAAATGTGGATGTTTTTAGATCCAGGAAAAGATTTTGATAAAGTAGACATAAACAAATCTGTTGGGCGGTTTTTTAGGATTATGGGATAAAAAAACAATTGCTAAATAAAATACATCAGATATGTTTGATATGATTGCAATCAATACAGGAGTGAGATAGGTGTGTGTGCTCCCTCTCTCTTATTTAATATATATACATAGTCAGTATATCAAAAGAAGCCAGCTTCAAAGCATTCAACCTAGAAAATGAGGAACTTTGCTTTCCAGATATAGAATTAGATCTGCACTTAAAAAACAAGCTGCAGTTTGCAGATGATCATTACCAGTTCTCCAATGAAGGGAGTAGACTACAGGACCATTTGAACAGGCAAAATTCATCATGAAAAAGAAATAACTTGAAAATAAATACAACTAACACTGAAATAATGCAGGTCAGTAGAACTCCTAACCCATTACATATAGGATTGAATGATACTTCTCTGAAGCAAGTTACAGAATTTTAATATCTGGGAAGTATATTTTGGGAAGAATAGATTGGGAAATGGACACAAGATGCCAACAAGCCAGTGCATTTATATACCAACTGACGCCATTATTAGGACAACTGAAGATAAGTATGACCACTACAAAACTTATAATTTATACCAGCTCTATGCTGCTAGTGCCAACCTATGACATTATCAAAGGCTAACCTATGTAAAAATAAACATTTGTGAAATTAGATGCCTGTGGAAAGCCACTAACTTAACCATCTGAGACAAAGTGAGCAATGATACTCTTAGACTGTAGAAACAGCATCATGTACCAGATTCATTGAGAAATAGAAGATCAGATTTGTGGTCATCTCATTGCAAATGCAGCCACAGCAACTGCTACATAGGTGCTACACATGAAAATATCTGATGTAAAAGCTAGAGGTCACCCAAGAAGAGGACATTAAAAAACTTTCTGCATCGACAGGAAACGGCTCATCATGAAGCAGTGGATCGCATACTGTTTCTCCCCACGACATTTGACAGAGAAAGAGGAAATTAAGGGTGACCATCATCATATATCCACTGTTGTAGTGCACTTATACATCATGTCTCACCATTCATAATTAATGGCACATGGTTATTATTGCACTCTGCTCTTGAAATTGTCTTCTCTGACAATAAGCTGTTTGAAAATCAATTACTTAATCGTATTTAGTATGTTTAATTTTGATCCTTTTCTTTTGCTTCTTCTTCTTCTTTTTTTTAATTAAATAATGTCACTCTTGATATTTTCAAGTTTATGAACATTCATGTGCTTATATTCCAACTGCACTATGTTTCTTATTAGTGACAACATATGGTTCCAAATATTTTAAACCAGTGTTTTTACTACTTAAGAAGTAAGTGTTTTTTTTTTGTGGGGGGGGGGGGGGGGGGGGGGGGGGGGGTTAATTCTACTCTATGTCTGGTTTGCAGTTTTTACTACTTAAGAAGTAAGTTTTTTTTTGGTGGTGGTGGGGGGGGGGGGGGGGGGGGTTAATTCTACTCTATGTCTGGTTTGCAGTTTGTTTGGGCAGCATATAAGATTGTTATCTATTTCTGGATGTATCACTCTGATGTTCTGCATCATTTTTGTAGGATTGGGTGATAGTGGCCCAGGTGTCATTCTTAGTTCAGAGCTGAAGGGATTCACAAAAAGCTTTGAATGGGAAATAAAAAAAGATAATGTCCTAATGAAAATTGGGATTATTATTATAAATATTTTTGCAAATGGTTGGTTGTGAGGTAGTCACTCTGGAAAGCTGTGAGGAGAAACAACTTTCTCATGGGTGGATAGAGTCGAGTACATTGATAGAATTTACCCTGAGGTAGACTTTATATAACTGTATGCTGAAGTTGGACACCCTTTCGTCAGTATTAGAGAAGTACCTAGATGTAATTTCTTCTTAAAAAGTGAAATAGGGGAAAGAAGCAAAAAAAAGTGCTTTTGTTTATTTGAACAACTATCAAGGTGGGAATTATACTTTTTTTTTAAAAAATGCGTTCTTATGTTCTAAATCAGCTTTGCCATTTGTTTAGTCAGTGACTTTTATCCTTTCATCTTCCATATATGTGTTGGTCATGACTGATTCTTCTTCTTTCTCACATTTTCTCATGCTCTTGTATTGGGGACAGATTACATGGTAACTAGATTTGGAAGTTTTTTGTTTCTATTTGAATTAAGTTAAATTGTACAGCAAGCATTTTAAACTGTTTTTTTTTTCTTCTTTCTTCTCCAGCTCTTAATTCCCTGCGCGCTAACATGGTTGAAATCAATCGAGAACACTGGATCAAAGATGCTGAGGATTGTGAAAAGAGTGGCAGTATATTTACTTGTCAAGCCATCATGTATGTCATCTTGTCATTTTTTTTTCTTACTCAGTATTAGTGCTACTCAGAATTACTATGAAGGGTGACCATAGGTCCCGTTTTCATCCGGGCGGCATCGTTTTTTTGTTTTTTAAAATTAAGGTAGGCCCAGTCTGTCTCGCCGGTACTCAGCATAGATTGGAACAATGGAGATTTTTGTTGTTGTTGAGTACGGTCTGGGCCTACCTAAAAAAAGGATACTGTCCTGAGGATATGATCACCCTACTACTAGTGATTAGAAAGGATTATCATGACAGCACTCCTGACAGATCTATAGGTGCTCCGATCTCCTCCTCAAAAGCTCCACAAGTGTAAAACGACTGATGACGCCTGTTGTGTGTTGGTTAATGAAACGTCTTGTCCCCTTAGTGAAATGTTCATTTCTTGCAGCTCCAGGCTGCACCCCCATGTAAATTAGTCGAGACAGGGATACGGGGTCATGTCCTTTGGTGTTCTCCTTGGTACGGTCAGTGCAGCTCATGGCATTGATAACATCACTTATGTCCAGTACTGGGCCAGCCAAAGCAGCTGCAATGTCAGCAATATAGTCTACACGCTCGATTCCTTGAACACTCGCATGACCTGGCACAAAGATGAAGGTTAGAGCAATGATTCGCGAAGTGCTTAGTGTTGCAATTCAGTTTTGCCTGATAAAACAAGCTTGGATTTTTTAAAGCATATTCATCGAGTCACTAAGAATGCACGTGTGTGAACTTTTGAGTACCAAACCATGCTAAAGCCTTTCTTACAGCCATAGTTTCAATTGTAAGGCTATTAGTTGTAACAGCGAAGGCGCCATTCATCTCTTTGATGGTTTTCCCCCTTGAGCTTATTGTAAATGCCTATGCACTTCACTTGCCCCTAATTACTGACCCATCTGTGTAAACTCCAGCATCACCTTCCTCTGTGTTTTCGTCAATCAGTGTTCTGACTAAAGTGTCAACAATGCCAGGAATCTGCTCTCTACAACTTCATCAAGTGTGATATGGACTGTAGTATTAATGTTTGGAGAGGGAGGTATAATTATCCATTCAATTCCACAATTAATGTCAGTAAGGCAGCAAACATGTTCGATGGTATCCTCAGCCTGAAAATTAAATGTTATGGAGCTTGCCTCCTGAGCACGCTTCTTTACGGCAGTGAAACCTGGCCTGTATATGCTCCTCAAGAAAAAGGACTGAATACCTTCCATGGGTGCTGTATGAGACCCATTCTTAGTATGTCCTAGCGAGACTTTGTCCCCAATGAATGTGTACTCAAAAGAGCAGAAATGCCAACAAAGCTACTAAAGCAAAGATATCTGCATTAGTTGGGAGGTGTCTCTCGCATGGAGGACTGTTGCATTCCAAAGCATCTCATATATGGTAAACTGGTAACAATGATAAGACCTGGAGAAAGGCAAGTGCTACGCTATAAGGACATATGCAAATGTGACCTGAAAGATATCAAAATTAATACAGACACTTGGAAGAGATCAGCTGCTGACCAACTTTTTTGGAGGCAAATGGGGAAAGACAGATTGATGCAGGTTGAAAGTGGCCAAACTACAGAGAGGAGACATTTGAGAGAAAACCAGCCTCAGAAACGTGCCATTTTTATGGTGTGGATACGCGGCACAGACTGCCATTCCCGCATTGGATGTTATAGTCATGGTGGACGCTGTTCCCAGAATCAGCGGTGCAACTCGATGGTTCACAGGGACTTATGGTTGCTTACTACTATACAGAGGAGGTCAGTGATTCAACTTAATTCTCCATCCTCTGTGCTTATGTTGACCTTGGTCCAAACACTTCATGACGCACCTGTGTAGATGATTCTGTCCTCTGGACATCAGTGCTGCTCTACAGTGCTCTTATCTTTGTGTCAACATCAGTGGAAATCTGGCTTCTGCAGTACCTCCACGGTCCAGTGACAACTTCAGAATGGTTATGCAGGTCTGCAATGTACCATTTCATTCTTGATGTTAAGATATGTTGTCAATGTATGGAATGTGTTCTCCTTTTATGTTACCTTGGTCTTCACTGTGGCTATCATATTTGTTGTTTCCTCCCTAGCCTTTTAGTCTCCTAATAGAACAGCAAGGTATTAGTAGTAGGGTTTATTTCCTAAAGTAGCATCAGTTCATTTTCCATGATGCTTCTTCTGTCGTTTGTTGTGTGGAGGTAATGCCATTACCTTTTGCTGCACATCTTGTTAGGACCACCTCATCCACCAGTTGGTCAGTGACTGCAAGTTTGTCCAGTGGAAGTCCAGTTGGTATCACAAGTGACTTTCCAAATCTGGAGGTTGTTTCTAGGGCTGTACCGAATATTCGCTTTGGGGCCGAATAGTGGACCTATTGACTATTCGGTATTCGGCCGAATAGTTGCGGTCGACCCAAATACGAATAGTAGTTACCTTACACCCGCTCCTGCACACACTGCCTTAATGCTGACAACATGGAACGATTGGTTTTGTTGAAAGCTAATGCAGCTTTCATGCATTAACTAAGCTGTTGGTGACAATTTACAAGTTTAGTTACTTGTTATAATATTTAGGATTCTTTCATTCCTAGTTATTAGTTACCACAGACTGACTGAAGGATGCAAAACATAAAATGTTTTTAAATGTTTACTATTCTGTACGAATACTAACTAGACATGGACAGAATATTAAATCCGGCCACATCCAGGTCGATAATACTTGGGTGCAAACTTCAACTGCTCCAACATGCTGAGAGAAGAAATACTATCCAGAATACAATCTAGAAATGAAGTCTACTATGCCCTTCAACATCTGCTAAAGTCAAATTGTCCCGAAACTCCAAGATCAAAATATATACAACGTTGATAAGACCAGTCGTTTTATATGGCTCTGAAACTTGAAGCAGAAATGAAAAAGATGAGGCCTTTTTACAGGTTTTTAAAAACAGTCTTACGACAAATCTTTAGACCTTTTAAAGATGCTAACATCGGGGAATGAAGAGTGAGAAGCAACAACGAAACACATCATTTGTTTAAATTACCATTGGTCACTGGCATCTTGAGAGCTAACAGACTAAAATGGTTGGGGCATATTGAAAGAATGCCAGAAGACAGAGAAGTAAAACTGTATAGAGAGGAATGGGTGTAGACAAAAAAGAAGATCGAAAGATAATGTCCAGCCAGACCTGCAAACAACTGGTGTCACAAATTCTGAAGAGAAGGCCAGCCAGAGAGATGAATGGAGACGAGTGATATCTGCAGCAGTAAACTTGCTCAGAATGCTAAAGAAGAAGATGACTATTCAGCGTACATTTGACATTATGAATGAGTGTGTGTGTTTTTTTTTAAAGATATATTTTATACACTATTCGTATTCGGCCGAATAGTTGGTCCCGTTATTCGTATTCGGCCGAATAGGGAAAATCACTATTCGGTACAGCCCTAGTTGTTTCACAACCATCTATGCCTGGGCGCATGAGGTAGTTGTCAGTCACGTTTTACTCTTCTCAGGCACATAACAAGAAATGCAAGCTTTAATTTAGACCTTCACCTATGTAGTTATTGTCTTATAAATTGGTAAATATAATTTGTATTGTAGTGAAAAATCTTAAAATCTTTGCATTCAGTTAGCTAAAAAACTTAGACCTTATAAAAAGTTTCCTTTTGAAAATATTCAGAATGCCTTTTTTTTAATAGACGAGCTGTGATTGGCATCAATGTGGAAGAAGAAGACAGGAAACACAGCTGGATGGATGATGCAGATTCTGTATGTAATACAGTTGTGTTAGATTAAATCGTACACTCTGTTGTTAGGTGAAGTTTAGTTGTATATCATTTCCATATCTTATGTTTCTGAGATCTTCCTCATCTGCACTGAGTTCATGCAAGATTCTGGAAAGGTTTCAATGCTTCACTTTGTTAAAATTCTTCACTGTGGTTTTTTTTTAAAAATCTTCTAGTGGAGCATAAGCCAACTTAAGCCTACCTTTATTCGCCTGTCTGTAATTCTTTTCTCTGTGTGTTTTAGGTCTGTATTCTGTGTTCATCTGGAATGCTAGGGTTATATCTGGTATTTTACTGTTTTATTTGTTCAGTTTTATTGACACCAGGAGAATAGATTACTGCCACAGTCTGCCCCTGACCATGTCTTATAGATAGGGTCTGTAGGGTAGCAAAGTGATAGGATCAGTGTAACTTACTGTGCATGGCTTGATGAGGTTTGGTGTGAGAATGGGAACCTCAGCTCATAATCATAAGGATGTCTACACCGGACTTATTGTAAGCTGGTTGAGGGCATATGTTTCAGTGCAAGTGAAAGACAGAAGTAAACAATCATTCTGATATTCTGTCATGAACTTTTCCACGGCCACTAGGAATGAGGGAAGTTTAAAAACTTCATCATTGTTTGACAAATAAATTGTGTTGAGAATATTAAAGAACTCAATGCTTTGCTAAAAATCACCATATAGGGAAAGATGGACTACAGGAATAAGACATTAGTCTCAGTGACATTTAAAAACTGGGCTGGAGAGAAGACATAGTATCATAGTGAGCAACAGAAAATGCTTGAGATTCATTGAAGCCGACCATCAATGTGAAGATGACAAATGATCTGATCCTAAAATTAATGAACCTGTATAGCGAAGCTCTAAAGATTTGTCTTATTTATGAAGATAATGTGGAAATATAATTATTATGAAGAATAACCTTGCTCCACAAAAACAACTTGCAGATTTAGAACCACCAGAGAAAAGCGAATGGTTCCTGAATGTTATGACAACCACTCCTTGTTTTGACTGCATAAACATCATCTTAACACATTCATTTTTTGTATGTGCTACTAAGGATCATATTTGTGAAGATTGTAACATCTGGTATACCCACGGTTAATCCTAATCATCATCACATTGGTGAATTGAGAGATTGATACTGAAGTAACTTAATCATATCATTCCACTGTCCCGGATCTCTGCAGTTATCTACACTTAGCATAAGCATTAACCATGATGTTCTTGTGGAATGAAGCTTTTTTTTTATTATTGGCTTGCCTTGTTTTTTTTTTTTCTCCTTGCCTTTTTTTAACCTTTGATAACTTTCTATTATAGATTTGTATGCCTTACAATGTGGCCAAGTGATGATAGTCTACATTTTTTATATACTTTGAATATTGTCTTGTCTCTGCGCCTAAGTATTTTTTAAGAACCTTACTTTTGTGTGTCTAGCTCACTCCTCATAGTGCTTGAGTTGAACAGAATGAAGCAAGAGTGTTTTCTTCCTCAGTGTGCTGCCCATCAAGCCTACGAGTGTGCTAGAGCCATTTATGCCCACGCTCTCTCTCACTTTCCCAGCAAGAAGAGCATCTGGCTGAGAGCAGCGTATTTTGAAAAAAACCATGGTACAAGGTTAGTCATGTTAGTTTTGTCTTACTGCTAATGAGCTTGTCTTACCTGATAGAAACATCAGGTCTATTTTAAGAACTGAACACCTTATCATCTAAATACTTGACTGCACCAGTGTGTTATATGTTTAAAATATTGATAACATCAGCTATAAATATAGAAATGATAACAACAGTTCTGTATTTAGACAAGTCTTCTTAACCTGCTGACTACCAAGCCCTTTAACCCTTGCACTTTCCCAGATACCACATATTTTAGTATGTACTAAAAATGCCACAGCTTTACAGCTATTTAACATACACTTATCTTATTTTGTATTTTTACTCCAAATTGAAAGGAAAACACATTTAAAGAAAAGAAATTGTGTTTATTTTGTTTCACATTATCATCATGTGCCTGTAGATTGGTGCAAAAAAGGCAACCGAAAAATCTTATATCTGACAACAATATAGACTAGCAAAATTGCCGTAATTTACCAGCCATTCAACATACACTTATCATGTTTGTATTTTTTTAAGCCAAATTAAAAGCAGAGCAAAGTGCAAGAAAAAATGGGTTTATTTTGTTTGACATTGTCATCGTGTGGCTGTATTTATAGTGATAAAAAAGCATCAAAAAAATCTTTTGTCTGCCAGAATACAGACTAAATTTAGTGACAAATAAAACATGTTAAAAATATAAAATGGTGTGCAATTCAATATCAGTGCAATTTTTTTTTTAAGTAACAGAGAAATATATACCACTCTCATTTATCACTTTTTACAGCCAAGATGTGTCAGTAGTATGATACAATTCACAGCATCCTTTAATTCAAGTGGCAACTGACATTCCCTACACCAGTAACTTGTCATGGTCCCTTTGCAGTTCTTTTTATCTCTGGATTCTTACATTTGTCTTTTTCTACACACACTGTGCACTTTCATCTGTAAATGGAGGTACTTCCTCCAGGAAAGCCTTGCAAATCACAATGCCAGTCATCAACCAGTCTGTGCCAAATCTTTCTCTAGCCAGAGGATGAGGATGATTCTGTATTAAAAGCAGCAGTAAATATCTTCATCATATGCAGACACAGAAACAAAATCTTCAGAATCTACAGGCTCTGAATGAATATTTTTCACTAGAACTATTGATATTGGAAACTGTTGCACTAGTATATGCTACAAAAGGTGTACCTGCCAGTCGAGTCTTATTTAGACTTGACCTTAAGACGACATGTTTCACTGCCGATGATGTTTTTTGTGTGTGTGGCACTTGGATAGGTTTATCAAAGCCAGAGTTATCAGACTGTTTAATTTTATCTTCACCTTCACTTTCCAAAGAAAAGAAAATTAAGAAAATCAGCCTACTACAGAAAAATTATAAAAATGATCATCCCGATCGCTCCATGAATTTGACGCCATGGCGAAAATTACCTCAGTTGTCACTGACATGGGAGCTAACAATGAAAATTCCTAAAATATTTAGTATAAGTGCTTTGAAGTTGTTTCCCTTAATTATTATTGAAAAATAAACTGGCTAAAGGCTTGAACCAAATTCATCGCAAAAATTATGATTTTAACATGATGGCAGGCGTCCAAAGATAGCATCGCAAAGGATGTGACATTGGCAGAAAGAAGTAAAGGTCACATAACGTGCGTCATGGGCAGTCAGTGAGTTAAGAATAAAAATATAAATCTGGTATTCCTAGCACTAAAAAGGTAGGGTAGGTTAAATTGAAGGGCACCATGTGCCCAGCTACATGAATAAATGCGCTATCTGACCTTGTGATGTAACGGATGTGGATTTAATAATTTAAATGTTGAGTAGGGATTTTCCTATCAACACATCCCCTCCACCAGATTAACTAGACTAATATCCGAGCTATGTTGCTCTCAGAAAAAATCCTGGATATCCAAGAAAACAGCCATATTGGCTCGTTAATTACTTTAACATTAGCTGCACTTGGTACCCACAAGAGAAGGAGAGGAGTTTTAGATGTCTATATCATTATACTGAATGAATGATTAGACAGGGCAAATGACTCCTCCCGTCCAACCTTCTCCCGGTATAGAATTATTATTTGAGCCCCCACCAAATGTAATTTATCTATCAGTTTAGTTAAACAGGTAATACTGAATACATTTGGAATTTAACAAACAATGTAGTATAAAACTTGACATACAGCTTTATTTACTTACAATGCTATTCCCCAGTTTGTTGTGTTTACACAAACAGTGATTGGTTAATGTTATAATAGTGATGAGATGCTTCAGCGAGAAAACAGCTCTGGGGTTTAGAGTGGTGTGATGATGGTGATAGGTTAACGAAAAAGATGTTAACGTAACTTATAAAACCTCTGACAGCCGTGAGGCACTGTCAAGCTTGTCCACCTCTTCCAGCTTCTTCCCTGCCTGTTTTCCGCCTGTTTCCCACCTGTTTCCAGCCTGTCGATCTCCAATTACATTGGTTCCAACATGCGACGTTAGTTCTATCAGAGCAGACGTCTATCCCCGACGGGAGCTGAGAAACAAACACATATGTGTAGTATCTATACTTACACTAAAAATGCATATATGAATACAATATATATATGTATAGACATAACATCTCTTCTCAATCTTCCACATTCTATCTAGTCTAGTCTGAAGGTCTTATGTCTTACATGGACGTCACATATCCTGCCTTCCCTCTCATGTACTGTCATGATAGTTGACTTCCTGGGTCTGATGTCCGTCTTCACTCAGACTTCCAAACATTGTTTTTACATGAACAGATGGAGCAGGTTATGTGCTGAAAACTCCAACCATTTTATATGTGCATGTTGTCTGGAATATTGTCTTTCCAGTGAGCACATGGTGAGTTATTAAAACTCTGCACATATGGGCATGATTTTCCCACAGTCCAAGCACATGTTTTGGGTTGATAATGGAAACAATATAATTACATTTCATTATAGCAAATGTCATTGTTCACATCTTATTTTATGCGCATGAAAACATGCACTGAAAAACATGTGACACAAACATACAAGAAATAGGAATAGTTTAGCAGTTCCCTGAGAACTATTTCAAGCATAATGTGTAGACAAATTAGGACAGGAAGTATAGACTAATCTAGCTCCTAACCTATGAATAAAGATTGAAAATAATTGTACAAGCTTACCTGGGAAGATTCCATCAATCGCCAAACCAGAATCAGATCGTAAGAATTACCTCTACGTCAATCTGTGTTTGTTGCCAGTTGGCTGTGATGTGAATGAAGTGATGAACTCCAGATGCTAGAAGTATAACCTATCTATCTGTCTGCAAGGTTAAACTCCTCCCCCTTCTAGGTTCTACTGGAGAAGATCTAAGCTACGCCCCAGAAGTACCTTGCAGATCAAATTAGCTAACAAATGCCTGTCACTTAAGGTGAACGGCCTTGATCAATGTTTCGACATTCTTAATTGGCCAATATCTGTTCTCCTGAGAATTTCACTGACATGTGTGAAACTCCAGCCACTGGACGCCGTCAGGTCTACCAGTCCACTTAATTCCCCTGATCTGCTCTGATCAAAAGGCCCCACTCAGTCTGTGTTATGTAACATTTATGACACTGAGGTTAAGCTCAGGGGAGATAATCTCAGGTGTGATAATCTCAGGTGTGATAATTAGTTCCCCGTTTGCTGGCCCTGACAGACTGTGGCCAGAAGATAATTGTATGACACTGGCATGAGAAAGGAATTTCTAGCTCCGGTATAACGTTAGGTAATATTACACAAAGCTCAGTTGCTTTGTCTGGACTAAGGACTGGTAACAATTAAATCCCTGCGGTTTTAATAATATTTGGGTTAAGGGCATAGTAAATATAATTCTTTGTCTCGCAATAACCAGAAGAACTTATTACAAGTGCTAACTTCTGGAACCACTGAGGTCGTTTCGTGACAGACCTGTTCTGGACCAGTGGATTGATCCAGAACTACCAGATCAATGATCTCTTAGTGACATCTGGAAACATCTGTTTCAGAAATGGCCGGCAATAAAAGAGATAGATAAAGATCCCTGCGGACAGACATGATCACTGAATCCACATGGTATCAACTATAAAAAGATAGAAGGTAAAAAAAAAAAAATTATTCAAGTGCACCACATGATGACACAAAATAAATAAATGGACGGCTGAATCAGTTTGGCAGCAAATAATTAGAGAAATACCCCCATAAAAATATGAAACGACAGAGAGGATTTGAAAGTCACGATTGCTTGTGTGTCATGTACACATTCTATGTAAAACTGATACATGTAACTACAGAAAGTGAACAGTCAAAGAGTTTTTGTAAACAAGAAAAGTTACATGTTGAGTTGAGTTTAGAACCAACATAACAACACTCGGGACATTCCTATAAGCCTCATCTTCAGCAGCAATTCAGAGTTACAATTCTAATAATACCAGTAGCTCGCATTGTCTTTCTCCTGAGTGTTGAGTATCGGCTAGATCCCAACCTCACTGCACCATTCTCCTCTCACCATTATGACCAATGTAAAACAATTTTAGTCTGGAGCTGTCATATAAAAATCTTGCAGTGCTAAGTTTGTTTAAATATTTATTTTCAGGGAGTCACTGGAGGCATTGCTGCAGAGAGCTGTTGCTCATTGTCCGAAAGCTGAAGTTTTGTGGCTAATGGGTGCAAAATCTAAATGGCTGGCAGTAAGTCTTAGAAAACACTGATCACAAATGCTGCTTATTTGTTAATCTAGTTTTTAATTCATCTTTGGTCATTTCTTAACTCCCTTGCCCGAAAAGCCCCAAACTTCCGGATGGTGCCATTTCCCCTGAAAGCTGTGTTTCTGCCTCGCTATGATGGCTTGTTTATGTGAAGCATAGCTAACAGATTTGATTCCTTTTTGCTTGCGCAAACATTCAGCATGGCTGGAAATATTATATTTACTTTAAAAAATAGTGGGGTGGGAATACCTCATTTAAAGCATTTCTGATGTATATTCCCCCCCCCCCCCACTTTAAAAAATAGTGGGGTGGGAATACCTCATTTAAAGCCTTTCTGATGTAAATTCCCCCCCCCCCCCCCCCCCCCCCCCCCCCCCCCCCCCCCCCCCCCCCCCCCCCCCCCCCCCCCCCCCCCCCCCCCCCCCCCCCCCCCCCCCCCCCCCCCCCCCAGTCTAGGGTTTGTCGGTCATGGGGTCAAGTAATTGTCACACTGTAATTATTATTCATGACTCAGAAGAGAGATGTAAGCCAGTTAATTCTCTGCTGTATCCATTTTATTGATTACTACCCTTTATCAGTTTTTTTTTAAGAATGTAAATCTTTTGTGTGTGACTTGTGAGAAACATTGATTAAAGAAAATAGAAAAAAATTCATATTTCCTAAAAGATGGGAGTTACAGGATCTTCGCAGTGATTTCTTTTTCTGGGTCACAAAAATGTATCCGCTGAACTGATTAAAAAGCTTAGCAGATCTGGGAAGGAGGAACACAAACATGGGGAGATTTTGACAGCTGCTTTTATTGACAAAAAATGTCCAGTTGTTCCTGTAAATGTGTGTGCTTTCCCCTTACCACCTTTCTTAAGCTTCTTAGTCAATTCAGTGGATTAATTTTTTGATACTAGCATTACTGCAGTCACCCCTATTTATATCTCTTACAGTTTCTAGGTCATCCGGGGTGAAAGCAGTAATGAAGATCTGTGATCCCTACTGTGTGATAAAGGCAGTTGGTGAATTTTTCTTTAAAATGAAGTTTAAGTATAATTTATTCTTGTGTTATGAGTTTGCTATTTTCTTTGCAAGGGAGATGTGCCCGCGGCAAGAAGTATTCTAGCACTGGCATTTCAGGCCAACCCTAACAGTGAGGAGATCTGGTTAGCTGCTGTGAAGCTGGAAAGTGAGAATAATGAGTTTGAGAGAGCACGTCGACTGTTACAGAAAGCAAGAGCTAGTGCGCCAACGGCCAGGGTAATTAGCAGTATTTCACTTTCTGTGTTGTGCACATTTAATTTGCTTTGTATGTTGCTTTTTAAATTGACACTGCATATTTAGCTCTGTTATTATTGTATCGCTTATTTCAGTTATTTGTTATTTTATGTGTGTCTGTTGATCGTTATACTACAGCTTTTTTCTAAATGCATTTGTACACTTTGTGCACTTTTAGCTTGAAATTTACTAGACATATTGTATATATGTATAAGAACCATGTCTTAACAGTCATGGGACAGTACAGACCATAGAGATGGTGGACTGTATGTGCCTACAGAACACTGAGTTGATGGACCTGTCGTCACTGTGTAGGCATGACTTTCATGTATGCATGGAAACTGCAGTTCATCTCGTTATAGCTGACTGCGACAAAATGTGACTGGATTTGTTTCTCTTGGTGAATCGAATACTCCACTGACGAGGCTAAGCTTTTTACAGAGCAGAGATGTAGATCACAAACTGTGACAAAAAGACACAAGGTTTTTGGGCAAGGGAATTCAACATTCAGGATTCAGACAGGAAACAGGGTTGTGATTAGTTGGACATTGACAGTGTAGAATGTTAGGGTGTTGGAATAATATTTTAGTGAAGAGTTCCGATACTTATGGTGCCAGTAGCATACTGATTAAACATCCATCTTGCCTTTCCTCTGAGCCTCGAACATCTGCCAGAACCTCTCGTCACTCCCCCCTGCATCAATCTCACCAGACTGGTGATCCATCTGCTCCTCCGAACAGTACATGCTCTCCCACAAGGCACCAACAATGTCGTCCTCATCATGCATCAGTATTCCACCAAGTTGTGCAAATCAGCCAGTATGTCCGCCTGTTCATTTCCCAACACACCGGCGTTACCAGTTGAAAAAAATCCAGACAATACTCCTCACCTGTGTAGCACAGAATTATTTATTCAGGTGGGAAGGAATTTAGTAAGGGAGTTGATTTTGTTTTGGATCCAAACAACTCAAAAATAGTGAAAAGATTTTTGACAATATCAGATAGAGTACTATTAGTAAAACTTCACCGCAGACCGTTTGATGTCAACTTAGTACAGATTTATGCCACAACAGTATGCCACAACAGCAGATGTTCAGAAAAAGATATTGACACATTTTATGATGAGTTAGACAAGGTTGTTGATCAATGCAAAAATTGTGAAGTAACAATGGTACTTGGAGATTTCAGCACGAAAATAGAAAGTGAAAAAGTGTACGGAATAACGGGTGGCGATAGCCTAGGAGAAAAGAAGATCCAGAGCAGCTTAGTTGGAGCAAAGACTAGACCAGGAGCAGACTGCTTTAGTGACCATGTTCCAGTTATAGGAAAGATTAGAATAAAACTAAAGAATATTAAGAAAACACCACAGAACATCAAGTTAAATTTAGGAATACCTAGAAGGGATAAATAAATTAAGGAACAGTACAATGTCCCTGTACAAAACCGGTATAATGCAATGGAAATTAAACAGACTATGATGAACAGTGGGATATGTTGCGTGAGTCAATTCAGCAGACATCAAAAGAGACAATCCCAGCAATCCATAGAGTTAAAAAACAAAATGGATGTCAACCGATATTCTGCAATTGATGGATGAAAGAAGGGGGATAAAGAAGGGATAAATAAATTAAGGAACAGTAGAATGTCCCTGTACAAAACCGGTATAATGCAATGGAAATTAAACAGACTATGATGAACAGTGGGATATGTTGCGTGAGTCAATTCAGCAGACATCAAAAGAGACAATCCCAGCAATCCATAGAGTTAAAAAACAAAATGGATGTCAACCGATATTCTGCAATTGATGGATGAAAGAAGGGGGGGAAAAAGAATGATAAAGAAGAATAATCTAGAATACAAAAAGAACAAATGCAAAGTGGCTAAAGAAGCCTGGCTGAATCAAATGTGGATAGAGGTTGGGGAATATCAAAGGAAAGACTCACATTCCATGTACCAAAAGATAAATATGTTAACAGGAAAGTTGACACCTAACAGCACTGGATGTTTAAAATCAAAAGATGGCGACTTATTAATGGGACGTAGTAATATAATTAACGGATGGACTGAGTATATAGGGGAATTGTATGATGATAATAGACAAGATGTAGAACTGCAGACCAACAATGATGGTCCACTAATGATGTCTGCAGAAGCTGAGGTTGTGTCGCATAATATGAAGAAAGGAGAACACCCGGGCCAGACAACAACTCACTGGAAGAAATTGAAGCACTGGGAGATTTTGGATTTGAAATAATAACTAAACTTTTAAATGATATTTATCAAAAGGGGTATATTTAAAATAACTTTTTTAAATCCATATTTTTAGCTCTGCCAAATAAACCGGACACTCTTAAATGTGAAGACGTCGCACACAAAATATGAGTCACATGACTAAGATTTTACTGAGAATAATTATGAGAAGAATAAGAAACAAAATTAAACCAGAAATCAGCGATGAACAATGTGGATTTGTAGAAGGAAAAGGTACAAACAATGCCATATAAGCCCGAAGACAACTTATCACAGACATCGGACGGAGACGATCATCATTTTTCAGCCATGTTATGAGAATAGGAAAAATGGAACATGTTGTGACCACTGGAAAGATCTGTGGAAGGAGGGATAGAGCAAGACAACGAGAGAAGATTCTTGACAGTCTTATTGCATGGCATCGAGGTGAGTCAGCACACAAACTGATACATGCTGCAGGAGATCGCAGATTGTGGAGAGGCATGATTGCCCACGCCAGTTGGCAAGGGATCTGATGATGATATATATATATATAAATGAGACGATAGCAAGTCTTTTGCAATGTTTTATGTTTAAGATGAAAAAGGTTTAAATATCACATTCAAAAGCTCAAGCATTTTCCAAAGGAATCTCTTAAATGGCACAAGCTGAGAAAACAGTTACAATGGGACATGAGTGGGTTAACGTGAAACAGAAAAATAAAGGTCCTGTTATATTTTCCTGACATTCAGCTTGAGGAAATGAGCATTAAGGCAGAAGAGTTGATAGACAGCTCAGATGCCATTATACTGACAAACATGCATGCATGTCCATGTGCTTGCCTATGCGCTTGCCAAACACACCATTAACGCCTTTCTTGATGAAAAAGCAGGATGGATTTCAGCCCCTTTCCTTCTGCATATTTGTTTTTAATGAGTGCATGGAACAACCCCACCCCGAATATATGTTTGTGCACCTATGAACTATTTTTAATGTCTTTTTATCAATCAGGTTTTTATGAAGTCTGTGAAACTAGAATGGTGTTTGGGAGAAATCAGAAATGCTGAAATCTTATTAGAAGAGGCTGTAAAACACTATCCAGATTTTGCAAAAGTAAGTAATTTATTTCTTCTTCATAAAATAGATCACCGCCTAGAGGAATATCAGCCTCCTCATTTTCTCTGCACGTCCATGTGTTCTGAAAAGATAAATCATTATATGTGTAATCAGCTGAATAAGCATTTGCATTTAGATGTCAGAGGGAAACTCCAGTAGGCATATTAATGAGTAGGAGACCTGACTTGAGTGATCATTGGCCAAGATCGAATCCTGACATAATTAGGACAATGTTATGACACTAAATGGTCTATTCCCACATCAGGGTCTGAAAGGAAATGGGGAAACATGAGGAAAATGTGTGAGTGAAAGATGTTAAGCTAAACACCTGATGTATGTGCGGTAGAAAGAAATTTTATTGAAAAAGTTGTTTGTTAGCTTGTGTGTCCCAAGACTGTACCAGAGCGGTTGATGCAATGAACATCTGTTGGATAGAAGCCTGATTGTTGCAGTGTAGGAGATGTATGGTGATTTATGTGGAGGACCAGCCTGATTGTAAGTTTTCAGTAAACCAACCAGTTTTCAGGAGTTTGCTTGGAACATTGAATGCTGCAACAAAAGTTTTAGTCAGAGTGTGTGGTAGAGATTCCTAGATGTTGTGGTAGAGATTGAAGACAGACGGGGGTCATTGTCACATTGATAATAAAACTTTACTTTGGAACAGTGGGCTCCTATCATAGAAGAATGTGAGTTCTCTCTCTCTCTCTCTCTCTCTCTCTCTCTCTCTCTCTCTCTCTCCTCTCTCCCCATCTCTCTCTCTCTCTCTCTCTCTCTCTCTCTCTCTCTCTCTCTCTCTCCCTCTCTCTCTTTCTGTGTGTGTGAGCGTGCGTGCGTGTGCGCGCGCCTGGGATTAAAGCATGTTAAAATGGTTTACTGGAATTGTTGTAGTGCCAAGTAGAGAGGACCTGTTTTAGAGAGACTTTGATGTCATCATGCTGCAGGAATTAAACATAGATTGATTGTCCTGGGTACATTAGTTTAAATCCTACAGGACAGGGGAAAAAGGCAATATCTCCTGGGGAAGAATGGGATGAAACAAGTCATTCTTGACCTGGGCCAGTGGAATCATAGTACGCTAGAGGTTCAGGGTATACAGATAGATAATGGGGGTGCAGCCTGGAATTTAGTGAATGTTTGTGTGTGTGTTGTCGATCAAGATGATGATTACCACTCTTTTCCTCAAGTATAAATATGAAGACTGATGCAGACGATGTGGGCCCAAAAAGTTCTTGGACACTGAGGGCAGGGAATGAGTGTTGTGCCAGAGAGGGGATTTTCTGCAATTGCCTTTCTGTCCATCCTTTTCTTAATCAGTCTTGCTGTTCTTTTTGCTTCACATGTAGCCGTGCCCTTGTGTAGAGTTGCATGCCATGCATTTTGGTCTTGAGAGGCAGACTCCCAATTGGTGCCATTCATCCCAAAGTAAATGTTTACGCTGCTGTTGACTTTCTTGTCACAAAAGAGCATTGGGACTGGCTCATAGAGTTGGAGGAAATACCTGGCAATAGGCTTCTAAATTGTGGAGATTTCAGTGCATGGAACAGAGCATGTGACATTACTGGAGAAAAAAGACATGGGAGAATGCTTAAGCAGAGGCTGTTATATATGCAGACCCAGTCTGTAAAAACGATGGTAGGCCAACTAGAATTGCAGCAAAACCTTGTGCATGATTTTTGATTTGGTGTTAGTTACCCAATCAGCAGAGCTGGACACAAATCAGAGTGTTCAAGGCAATCATGGGAGGGATTTCTAAAGCCAGCAAGATCAGTGCTATGAAAGTGTGCAAAACTTTTAAGTATGAGAAGGCTGGTACCCTTTTTGGATGCCTTCGACAGAAGGTATGCAGCAGAATGTTTGTTTGTGTGCAGTCTCTATGGTGGACCCAAGAAGTGGAACAGGCATGGAGAGCAAGCAAACAGCAGTTAAACAATTACAGAAAGTGTGTGGGACACCTCACAGGTTACAAGAGGATGTAGAGAAGCTAGTAGAGAAAAGAAAAATCCCCATGTGGGTTCCAGGGCCCCATTGTTGGGAAAACAAGAGTAGACCCACTGCCTACCCAAAAGCATGTCATAAGAGTAGACTAATTGGGAGTTTCCTTCAAAGTCAGAGTACCTCTGCCTTAGATGCAATTAACAAACTGTATGCATGCAGCACTCATTCTCTGGACCAGGACAATAGTCTAGAAGTGGACGAACAACCAGAACCTTCCTCCCGATTTACAGCCAGTGAACAACAAGAAGAAAAGAAACAATAGAAGAGTTCAAGCAGATGGGAAAAAGGCTAAATGGGAACATTTTATGGGTAAAATTTGAGGGGATAAATTACTGGGTAGGTTTTGGAAACTTCACAGACAGATGCCTATCACAACAGGCATTATAATACACTGATAATGATATGACAACAGACAAAGAGAAAGGGGAACCATTTTTAAAGAGATTTATAGCCCAGGCTAATCATAATGATAAGGAGTTTAGAAATTTAAGTAAAGATAATCTGTCTAATACTATAAATGATTATTATCTGCACCGGGGCCAGATGGAGTCATGTATGCCCGCATGAAGAGCATGAGTGATAAAGACTTCAGAGAGATACTGTTCAATTCAACTAGAGCATCAGAACAGCTTCACTACCCCAGGATTGGGGACACAGCTACCTGATCCCACTTCCAAAACCAAGCAAAGATAATTCCAGACTCATCAGTTTTAATGTATGTAAGTACATATGTACCTAAGCAGTTTACATGGCTGATTGCTGGTTCTGCGTACAAAATGTCATTAACTGTGTTTTTCTATTTTAATTTCATAGTTGTGGATGATGAAAGGACAAATTGAAGAGGAAGCTGGGAAAAAGGATTCTGCCAGGGAAGCTTATAACCAAGGGGTAAATAATATCTTTGTTCAGAATAGATAAATAATAGTTTATTTGTGTGGAAGTTAAATAGATGGTTTTTTTTTAAAAATATGTGTAGTAATTCTTTTTGTGGTTTTTTTTAGCATCTACTATTATATATTTGTTTGTGCTATATGAAATTTTAGGAGTTTAAAATACTCTAGCAGTGTCTTCACAGCTCATCATTATTAACATTTCATAGAATCCTTTATGTCAGGGTAATAATATCAAATAAGTTATCCATTTTCTTAACCCCCCCCCCCCCCCCAACTGTGTTTTGTCCATTCAGATTCAAGCGGTGTAGTTGTAAAGCACGAGAAGCACACCGGACACACACAAAGACTTGTTAACCAACATAGGACTGGTACTATTAACCGCACAACGCTGATGAATATGTTGAGAGGGAAATCTTAGGGCGTGTCCGGAGTGCTGTGAAGATAATCTATATATATATATATATATATATATATATATATATATATATATATATATATATATATATATATATATATATATATATATATATATATATATATATATATATATATATGGAGTATATCAGATAGAATTATTATGGTTAAAATCAAAGGCAAACGAGTAAATATAAACATAATACAAGTGTATGCCCCAACATCAGTTAGCCGTGAAGAGGAAATAGAAACATTTTACGAAGATATAAATCTGGCAGTTGCCCAAACAAAATCACAAGAAATTAAATTAATATTGGGAGATTTTAATGCAAAAGTTTGGAGAGAGAGAACAGAAATTATAGTTGGGGAATATGGTTTAGAGCCAAGAAATGAAAGAGGTGAAACTCTGGGAGAAAATAAATGATATGATGATTGGAAACACAACATAAGAGACGATTATACACGTGGACAAGTCCAGATAAGAAAACATTCAATTAAATATAGATATATACTAGATTAACAAAAGGTTTAGAAATGCACTAACAAATGTGAAGACAAGACCTAATGCTGACTGTAACACTGACCCTGTCTTATTATGTGGAAAATTAAATGTACGACTGAAGAGGGGAAAGAAAGAGATGAAAAACTGTAGACTAAACAAAGATATTCTAAGAGAGGATAAAGATATTCAGGAACAATATAGAGAGATTGTGAGGAACAGGTACAATGCAATACCAAAAATACAAAAGAAAAAAATGATCAGTGGAAAATGCTGAAAGAGTCAAACAAGCAAAAAGATTTTACAGAAAGAAGACAAATAGCTAAACAGAAATGGATGACTAAAGAAATTTTAAAGTTAATGGTTTACAGACAGCAGTGTATGAATAACAATGAAGAATATGACAAGATAAATAAAGAAATAAGGCATAAGTGCATGAAGGCAAAAGAAGAGTGGCTAAATGAACAATGCAATACAATCAAACACAGTCCTGTTAAAGATGCAAAAAGTGTGCATAAACAAATTAGCGATCTAACTGGAAGAAAGATAAGAGTAAACACAGGATGTCTGATAGCAAAAGCAGGAGAGATCTTAATGGGGGAAGATGATTTAATAACTAGATGGAATGAATACATAAGAGAGGCAGACCAAGAGAGATGATGCTGGATGGGCTGAAACGATGGCATGGAGGGATATCATCAAGAGAGCTGTTCCAGGCAACCAGGGATCGTGATCTGTGGAGATGCATAAACGCCTAGGCCAGTTGGCAGGGCACATACTGATGATTATATATATATATATATATAAACTACACAGCTTGAATCCGAATGGACAAAGCTTGGGGGGGAATGGTGTGTGGGGGGGTGTGAAAATAGATCTTATTTGATATTATTATCCTGATACACACATACATATACAGTGGAACCTCGCTTAATGAGCATAATTCGTTCCAGAATCATACTCATTAAGCAAAACACTCATTATGCGAAGCAATTTTTCTCATATAAATTGATGTAAAATACGATAATGCGTTCCATGTCGAAAAAAAATGCTCACAAAATGCTATTTATAAGTTATACTATAACATTTGTTCAAAAAAAAAATTATATACATATTTAAGGAGTGAATCATCTTCATCTTTTCTTCAAACGCGGAACGAACCCACATGGAATGTAAATTTGATTTGCAGAAAAAAAGTCCAATTAATTATGATACATAGCTAATTATTTTTTTACTAGAATGATGTCCAGAGACATTTATTTTTGCCGACGCTTCAAAATTAGACGCAGCATTATCATTACATTTGCAGCGCGCATAGCCACTTCCTTATTAGGGTGATGCTTCTCAATGTGAGAAACAACAGTTTCCCATGCTTTCGGCATTTTTCTTATTTTGCCAGAATATTGTTGCTTTTCTGTTACCTTCTCCTCCTCTGACAAACTTTCCTCCAAAACTTCTTGCTGTGAAACATAATGCAACTCCACAAGCTCTCCACTTGGCTGTGCTCTTCCACAAGCTCTTTAATTTCACTGTTATCCACCTACAATCCCATGATAGTGGCCAAAGACACAATCTCGTTGACTACAGGTTCCACAGGTACTGTCTCGACCCCATTAAAGTCACAAATCGACAACACTCTCCGCCCAAAGCTTCCTGCAAGTAAGAGTTAGGGTTCTCTTGGTAACCCCTTCCCCCCGCCTTGTCGGTCATTTTGAGGTAGGCAACGATGTGGAAGCGATTTTTCCAAAACTCTTTGAGAGTGAGGTTGGTCCTTTCAATCACATGAAAACAATGCTCGAAGCATGCTTTAGTGTAGAGCTTCTTAAAGTTAGAACTAACTTGCTGGTCCATTGGCTGGAGTAACGGAGTGGTGTTGGAAGGCAGAAACTGGATCTTGATTAACTTAAATTAATTCATCAGGGAGGTAATCTTATAGCCCTGGAGGATGCATGTACATGTATCCAATATAACATAATTTTGAGAAAATGTGTGATCACAAGCGACAATACTACTGGAACGAGTGCTAAACACTTTCCTTCTCTTCGCCACTCGTTATGCGACACGTTGCTCGTTAAGCGAGTCATTCTTTTACAATTTGTTTTGCTCGTTATGCGAATTACTTGTTATGAGAGGTGCTCGCTAAGCGAGGTTCTACTGTATATTGTTTTTCATTATTAGTTGATTTACAGGGCAATGTGATTGAAATTTTGATAGAGGCTTTGAATATATATTAGCATGGTATTTTTTAAATTGATTAAATAACACATATTTAACTATAATGAAACAAATCATTAGCGACTTTTATGATCAAATAGATGTAATCTGAATCGTGCTTCCTTTTTTTTTTCTAGCTAAAGAAATGTCCACAAGCTATTCCACTCTGGTTGCTCCACTCCAGATTAGAGGAATCATCTGGTCAGTTGACTAGAGCAAGATCAATTCTGGAAAAAGCTCGACTAAAAAACCCACAGACTGATATCCTATGGTAGATATGTGTATTTAATGTTTATCAGATCTGATATTGATTTCACACTTTCACCTGTATTAGTTGTAATATAAAGGACAACAGTAATTCTAATAGGCATACACATATTATTTAAACTAGCGGCCAAAATGATGCTGACATGTCAAACAAAGTAGTTAGATTTGCAAATTACAACAAATAGCAAACTAGCCATTTTACAATCATGCCTTGTGCTCCACAAAAAAGAAGAGAAAATGTCACCTCAGCGTAAACAATACAGAAGGAATTATAATTTAGAGAAAATATTGTGAATTAAGTCAAGATTTTTAGTTCAACAATACGCAGAAACAGCAATAGTAGTTCAGATTATCAGATGAAACTAAACTGACCACACACACACAAAAAACACAAAAAAAAACTATTTAGTACATGTGATGTCGTTACTATCTGATTATAAATCTATGAGGACACTGCAGTAGTAATTGTAATGTAATAATGATGACACCAGGAAGAAAACAGATCAAGATTATGACTTAACCAAATCTGGTTATAGTTAACTTTAAGTATATTTGGAATTAGCCGACAAAAAATTCAAAAGCAGATACTGTTAATACCCAGACCATAACCAAATCCTGACATTAGTAAATGGTGCAACACGACATGTATTGTTGGTTAGAATCATGTGTTCTTTGAATAGATCATTAGAGGCATAATCATTTTTTCCCCAGTAAGCTTATCCGACCATTGTAAAGAGCGATGATTTCGTTAGTGCTGAGCTCCTTAGGGTCTTTAACTTTTATCTTTTTTTAGGGCTAGGAATGTTGAAACAAGAATCAAGCTCACAACACTAAGGATACTCTCATGTGCACTCCCTCCCCAACTTCAGCAGCAAGCGAAGAGTTCCAATTTTGATGGTACCAATAACTGTCTGATTGTACGTCCGTCTCGCCTTTATTTTGAGTGTCGGCCAGATCCCCTGGTAACTCCTCGCCGAGCCATTCTTCTCAGACCGTAATGATCTGTTTGTTGCTCCTCACTGCTCACTCGCTCCCAAAAGGCCCTTACAACGTCTAGCTTGTCATACATCAATTCACCACCTAGTGGTGTAGAACCAGTCAGTTTGCCTGCTCGTTTCCCAACACACCAGCATTACATGGAGAAATTATCCAAAGGGTGCAAAGTACCTGAAACCTCTGAAGCGATGCTTGTCACACTGCACTGAGCATGCCTGTCTCCACCTTTCTTAACATACTGTGTGTCAGTTACATTTAGGACATGTGTATACAGTCAAGTGGCAAGCCAGCTGGAGGCACCTGTGACTGCCTCCACTCTGTTCTCAAACTAGACTTGATATATGCACGACTTTGTTGCACTGAGCAATGTCCATTCGCCTTTGCTGTGAACCTCCAGGAACTTCGTCTACCTCGTAACACCAAGCTATCTGTATAGATAATCACATCACCAGGATGAGAATTGTAATGAATCATTTGTTGAACCTCTGATTCTGTAGCACCAGCCAGCCAGTCCCTTCACTCATGACCCAGAGGGATTAGAACCATACACAAGTCTTATTCTGACTTGGAAACTTGGACCCACTTACACAATTGTCTAATTGTGTCCACAGCTTGCGCCATCCAAGACCTTCCTCTTTTTAGTTTATGACCTGTTACTCTACCTAGGGCTTTCTGCAGGAGGTGCTTCTTGCTTGTAGCTACTTTGCTTGCAGAACTATGAGCCTATCTACAATAGTAGGCAGTGCAAGCATATATCGCATACACACCGCAGGGGTATCTCTTGTTACATCCCGGAATTATCCGCATTGCTTCATTCTGTATGCGTCAAGTTTTGTCAGTTGACTCTTTGCAGGGTTCGCAGCCAACCTGGAAATTTCCCTTTTACCTTGAAATTGCGGCTCCGACCTTGAGCCTTAATTTAAACTCGTAGTATTTTGTATTTTTTGCACCAAATTCAGGGAAAAACAAATTTCAAGAAGAAAAAAAGTAGCATAATTATGTGGCATATAGAATAGAAAAACTCACATTAGAAAACTATGGCATCTAGTAAAAAGTTTATATGAGCAGAAAGGTACTATCTGTGCAAACACTCATTAATGATGGTAGGAAAACTTTCACTGGTAAAGAAGCAGCAGACCTGCTGGCTGATAATTTTGCAGGGAAAAGCAAAATCTTCATTTCCAGAGAGAGAGAGAGAGAGAGAAAGAAGTGATGAGAGAACCGAGAAAACCAATAAAAAAGCAAGTCAATAACCAGGATATACCCCAAGAACTTGAATGCACATTAAGCAAATTTAAGAAAAGGCACCATGACTTGATCGAATAACAAATGAAATGATAGTACATTTGAGACCAACTGGTAGGCAATGACTCTTAAACATTATCGATCAATCCTGGACCAAGGACTACTTTCAAAGGAATGGACGGAGGCAGAAATAGTTCTGATAGCCAAGAAAGGAAAGCCAGAAGAAAACAAATTCAATTACTGTCTCATAAGCTTCCTAAGCTGCCTTGGAGAGACCATAAAAGATTAGTGAACAACAGGTTACCTTATTTCCTGGAAATCAACATATTGGATAACAGCCAATCAGGCTTTGGGAAATACAGAAGTGCTGATGGCCAAACTTCTTATCTCACACAAAAAATTGAAGGTGCTTTCCAGAAAGATAACTGCTAGCTACTTTCTTTGACCAGACCAAAACCTTTGACAAGGTTTGGAAGAAAGGTCTCAAGCTAAAACTAGCACACAATGGCATAAAAGGATATATTTTCCCCTGAATTTAAAACTTTCTTTACAGGCGCCACGCGAAAGTCAGACTAAGAATGCAAGAGTCAGACTGGAAGAACACAACAGCACGCTGATCAGACTACAAGAAGGTGTCCCTCAGGGATGTGTTATATCTCCTACCCTGTTTATTCTTTTCATAGTGACCTCCCCGAACAGTTCACGTCTTACATTCACAAGTCCCTATATGCAGTTGACCCAAGATGAACATATAGGAACAACTAAAACAAGAATGCAGGATGCTATAAATGCAGTTAAGAAATGGACAGATTCTTGGGGAGTTTATCAGTTCATGGCCAGTTTGTTTACCTGAATCATTTTTTTCTAATAAAATTTCTTTGGAAGCCACTCATTTTACATATACATAGCATGGGGCAAGCTATCTAAACTGAGCTGTTATTAGCACAGGATAATGTAGAACTTATGATGCCAGTCAGGGAAAGTAAATCAAAAGCTGTTAGCAATCTCAGTGAATATAATTGCCATAATGTTTTTGTCTACATGAAAGTTGATAAAAAGTTTAGGACATTGCTGTACATTTTGCCAACAAATTCGTCTGATTCATTTTACAAATCTTTTTCAGGCTAGAAGCTGTTAGAATTGAAATGTCTGCTGGACTAAAAAACATTGCCAACACATTAATGGCGAAAGGTAGCTTGACATTCTTTTTTACAAAATTGTATGAAACGTATATGTATGTATGCATGTGTGTGTGTGTGTGTAATACATCATATACACACACACATATATATATTTTTTTTCTGTAGCAATTATGTGCTTCTCCACTGCTTCTTTTATCGCTGTGTGGATTGAGGGAAATATAAAGTTATGCTTCTGGCTGCCTCAAACATAGATACATTGTTCTGTTGTAAAGTTTCTCTGATGTTATTTTCCCGTCTTGTTTTTAGTGCTCATTTTCTCTATGTCCTCCTCCTATTTTGGTGTATAGCATCACAGGACATTCTGTCTAAGTGGGTTAACCATTTGATTTGTTTTTTTTAAATGTAATTAGAATTGGTCCTGTGTGGACTTATTCCACATTCCTAATTGTGCCTCTTCCGGTCACTCCTGCAGCCCTCAGGCATCTCATTTCCATGGTTACCTATTTCCTTTTCTTGTTTGATGTGAGTGACCATGTCTGGCACTTGTAACTAGAGTAGGAATGAATATGCTTTGTATTAGATGTTTCTTTGTGTGGATCTGGTTTGTCTTGTGCTGTAAAGGGGTAGGGGGAGCTCTTAGCGACCATTGACAGCTTGAAATTCCCTTGAATAGCAACAGTGAACTGCAAGACTTGACATCGCCCTTGAACGATAACCCTTGAAATTTGCCCTCCATGGTGGGAGAATTGAGCTATCATCAGAAGATTTGTGATTTTTGGCAGTCATGCAATTTTCAGCATTTTGGTTACCTTCTTTTTAAATGTGTACGGTCATTTTCAGTAAGTGTTGAGTGGGCAATCAATCCACTCTTCATTGCTCTCATTGTTGTACTGTCTAGAGTGACTTCATCACGTGCTTATGTGTAGTACCTATGCAGTCTACATTTACATTATACCTGGATGCCATTTTCAGCTGAAATAGATAGATATGCCTAACTTTAAAAATTAATAGCTGTTGGGAGCAGCGATAATCACCCAAAATGCAAGCGGTGTAAGAAAGACATAAGCTCTTATTTTGTTAGTTTTGTAGCAGGCAAGCACACGGAAGAAGGCCACATACCCAGTGTTTATGGTATGCAGTGGGAGGGGCACACAAGCTGTGTAAGAAATGAAACTTTTGCTGTCACAAGTGGGCAGCCATGCATACTTGGCGCTCAGTGTTCTAACCCCACCACATCCAAATCTTCTCTTCTCTCACCCACTCTCTCTCTCTCCTTTGATCTTTTGCTGTTCTACCTCTTTTGGAGCTGCATGGTCTCGAGGAATGGCACCCACCTTGAGTGCTGGAGGTCTCGCGTTTAGGTCTTGGTGAAGGCTGAGGATTTTTTTCTTGTGGACTTCTGCTAATTTCCCCTGGTCTCTGGGTAGTAAAAAATCTTTTGGCAGTTGGATATCAAAAAGAGTAGCCTAACGGCGCTGCCCGGGAAAAATTTGGAGTTCAAAATCTACCTAAAGTATTTCAGGAAGCTCGCCGGTGCTACGGAGTTTGTGCACTGCATTGAGACTCAAACTTGAAGTAGAAGTAGAAAGGAGCACGGTTACTACCCTTGTGCCATGATGTTGGTCTATTGTTTAAACCTAAACCTAATCCTTCTTCTCTTCCTTTTCCTCTATATCCTTACTCTTTTCTCCCCCTCCTGCTCCATCTCTCTTCTCTAGTCCTTTTTTCTTCTCTCTATCTTTCCTTCCACTTTCCTTCCTTTTTATTTTTTTTTTCTCTATTCCCCCCCTGACGGCTGCAAGTACATTTATTGCAAAAGTTGCAATGTTAACATATAGCAGGGGGTGCGATCGTGGTAGTCAGAGATTACAACTACTTCAGAAATGTTCTTGAAATAGCTGACTTCTTTGTGCCTGAATGAATGTCAGTTGTAGAGATGATAGTCTTATAAGATTGAAGAGATATTTGGGATGTAAGACCAACTGGCAACATTGACAGTTTTGGAACACTGTCTGGAGAATTCAGTACCACCTAATGTATCATGTGTTGATCTACAATTAATTTACATGTTTTCTAGTACCAAAAGAGTTAAAACAGAAGGGGTGTTAACATTTTCTTTTTTTTATGATGTATAATTGGTAAACCTTTTATCTTTCTGAACACATATCTTAATTAATATTTCTGCTTTGTCATCAGCTCTTCAGGAATGTCCAAACTCTGGGATTTTGTGGGCAGAAGCCATCTTCATGGAAGCAAGACCACAGAGGAAAACTAAATGTGTTGATGCTTTGAAGAAATGTGAGCACAATGCTCACGTGCTTCTTGCTGCTTCAAAGTTCGTAATTGCATTTATAGATTATATTATTTATTTACTTTGCGTCTTATTCAGAAGTTACTTGTGCTGTGACAGAAATGTAACAGTTTTGACACTGTTATAACTTTTCATGTTTGGATTTGAAACTCATATTTGAATATAAATATAGAGATTACTCTTTTTTGGAGAGAAATGTCTCTTGGGTTGACCTGTGCATTTTGAAATCACATTGAGAATGTCAGCAAACTAAACCTGTCTAAAGGATAAATCTTTTTCCTGCAAATAACTGCACATTGTCAGTAGACAGCTGGTTTAAGTTTTCTGTCAATATCCCTCTGAATTACTGTCTTCCTTTGTAAATCTGGATAAACAACATATTTGCATTTAGGAGCAACAGATGAAATGGTTTGGTCATCTGTTAAGAATGCCATGCTACTAGCTGAACACAGAGCAAGAGAAAGACCCTGCAAAATATGGAACCATAAAGAACAGCCTTAATCCTACCCAAAAGCATGTCATAAGAGTCGACTAATTGGGAGCTTCCTACGAAGTCGGAATGCATCTGCCTGAGAGGCAAGGAACCAGCAGTCTGCATACAAATGAGTCACATCTGTAAAACAGATGCACACGCAACACTCAGATTCTGGGATAGGACTGCAGTCCAGAAGTGGACAAACAACCAGAACTTTCCGCCAGAGTTTACAGCTGGGGCAGGACTGCAGTCCAGAAGTGGACAAACAACCAGAACTTTCCGCCAGAATTGACAGCTGATGGACGCCAAGAAGAAGAAGAATCCTTGTGCCCTGAGAATGCTAAAAAAAAAAAAGGTAGTAATCAATCAATGATTGAAGGTACTACGGGATTATGGTGTCAATTAATATTTTATTAAAATGTGCGAGAGAATACATAAACAGCCCATACCCAATCAGAACAAACATAGAAATGTCGGAGAAGTTTTACATTAGATCTGGAGTCTGACGAATGTGTTTTATCACCACAACTGTTCGCCACATACAAGGCACATTTTTTAAACAAGTCTCTGTACATTTTTAAAAAAAATCAACACTAAAAAATCATTTCTCAATGTAGCTACCATTGACCTGAAACATTTTTGGTATCGTGGCACCAGGTTCTTAATTCCAGTGTCATAAAAGTCTGTCGCCAGTGTCTTGAACCATTAATTAACACCTGTCTAAAGCTCATCAGTTTTAGTGTATGGAAAGGTGGTAATCAGTTGGTGCCAGATTGTGGCTCTAGGGCAGCTGGTCAACTAAATTTTGCAACAATTGAACAGTTCTATCAGCGACTTGAGGTTGAGCAATATTGTGCAAAAGCACAATTTCCCAGAGTACAGCAACCCATGTCTTTTGTTTTGGATGGCACACAATTTTGTTTTTTTTAATCCCAGTTTTTTTTTGTCACAGTGTCATAAATCGGTGAACGTGAAACTTCTGAAAATTCAGTAGATAACACAGAAGTTGTACAACAATGATTTCCTGAATTTTTTGTTTCATTTCTTTGACCAAATTGATTGTCACCACACTTGGCCAGCCACTACCATCTTTATCATGGATTAAACATTTGTCACCATTTCATAACAGCATGAACCTCGCAGCTGACGGGAGTATTTATTTTTGCACTCATTATAAATCACTCACACACAGGATTTTCGACATTGAAAAATAGCACACAGCTAGTTAAGGAACCACAAAAACATACTGCATATGCACATTTAGGTTTTACATTGGTGTTTGTCACTGCAGTCAAAACAGGACTTATTTAAAACATTGGAAAATTACTAAATGAATTGTTTTTCACCGATCACCAGGCAGTCACAGCACCAACAATAGTACAACTACAAGAATAGACTCTTCTCAGACTATGATATGAAGATCAACATAGAAAAAACAAAAGTGTTGACATACTCCAGAAAAAGAAAAAAAACATCAAAATTGATAACACAAATTCAAGCAGGTGAAGGACATTACAAAACTGAGGAGCATTCTTTCAGAAGATTGAAGAGTTGATAAAGAAATTCAACAAAGATGCAATAAAGCCAGTCAAGTTCTAGGCCAAAGGGCACTAATTTTGAAATGCAAGCATTTGAATATGAACACTAAAAGAGCACGTTCACCACAGTATTATTACTAACACTGTTATCAAAGTCAGACAGAAGAAATAGTCATGGCAGCAATGAAATGTTTTGGTACTATGCTGGGTATAACCAGGAAATATAGACTTAGGACCAATGATATCAGGAGTAGAGTCAGCACAGAACCAATACTGAACTTTATCAGCAGACAACATATCAAACGATCTGGCCATGTGAGAAGACTGGCATCAGACAGGGCACCACAGAGAGCAATGTTATACAGATACTGTGGTAACAGAGCCAGAGATAGACCACGCAAAATATAGAGAGCAGAAATATCAGAGATACTAAAAATTACCGTATATGAAGCAAACAGAAGGGCCCGTTTAGAGATCTTGCCCTGACACTGCGAGGCACTCTAGGAGTAGAGAAAAGAAGAAAAAGAAAATGTAGAGATATATATATATATATATATATATATATATATATATATATATATATATATATATATATATATATATATATATATATATATTATTATATATATATATATATATATATATATATATTATGATAGTCAGCTCTGAGGCTAAGTCGATGCGAACACTTCGTAGTGCTGGGTTCGATCCCAGCTGCGGGCCATGCACCTTGCATTGGTTTTGACAATGGTATCAGGAGGCCGACTGTCCAGAAAGCAATGGCAAACTACTGGACGTAAATTTGCCTAGAGAAACCACACAACAGCCAGGAGCTGCTGGGGTTGGTTCTGTAAAGAATACGCAACTAACCTTTATATATTATGATTCGTCCTGTGACCCCATAACCTCTGTCATTAAGGCTGCAACAAATTTTTATGTCGTTATGGCTTTGCATTACCTATGCGTCTCGGTCTCATAATTAATCAACATAGAACTGGTACTATTAGCCATCGGACTTTAGGGTTCATACTGAGGGGAGGATCTGAGCACCTATGGACATGTCCGGAGTGCAATGAGGATAACCCAACTAACTAACTAACTAACTAATTACCTATGCGTCTTGTAAACACTTCACTCTAGAAAAGTCAGTTCAGTATAGGTAATAGGACCCAGGTGGAAGTGTTGATTTTTTTTATGCTTCTCAGGGCAACAAGGTTACAGATATGAAGATTGGCCTTATACAACTCTTTAGGAAGATTGTACAGAATATCCTTACATCTCTCTCCAACAATTATGTGAGATAACTGGATGGAGAGATAGGCAAGATGAAGATAGAGACAACTGCCTGAAAAGATGGAGTACCAGATGTTGATGTGGGTAGTGGAGGTCTTCAGTATATGTTGTTGTCTCTGTTTAAAAGCTAGCAAGTGAGGTGTCATGTTTTAGACCCTTGCATATTCTATTAACTAACTCAGAAAGTTTTATTTTACTTAAAGTGTTTTGAAATGTGTTTCTTAGGTTGTTCTGGTGTGAGCGCAAAATTAGCAAAGCAAGAGACTGGTTTAATCGCACAGTGAAGATTGATCCCGATTTTGGAGATGCCTGGGCATATTTTTACAAATTTGAGCTGACTCATGGAGAGGAGGTAAGCAACCAAATAAAATATACATGATCACAAACTAATACCACATCATTTCATTTATAATGGTATCAGTTTGTGTTCATTAGGGTATTTTCCAGGTCACTGCAACCTTCAGAATTATGTTTTGCTATTGAAACACCATTTTTGATCTCTTGGATCCGTGTTTTTTTTTTTTTACTGCTATCAAACTCTAATGCATACCATAAATTGTGCTGTACAAGTCAATCTCAAGATGTTTATCTCAAAATTCTGAGTTGACCCCTAATTTCAGATAGCTTTTTAAGCAATATGGCTTGCTAATAAATGTTACTGAATAAGACAGGGCTGTAAACTGTAGACATTAAAGCAGATAATTATCATGTGGCTGGCTAGAAAGTACAAGCCTTCATCTCCCTCCACAGATCTTGGTTCTTGGCATACTGGATCAGTGTTATTGATTATATTCCTCCATGCCACTGTCTGACTTAGACTGAGTGGTAATCAGGTGATTCATTAAAGTTTATTCTAAGTTAATTAAAGTTGTAGTTATATGGATGCGAGAGTTGGACTCTCACCCTGGAAATAGATAGGAGGATTCAGGCTTTCGAATGTAAATGCTAAAGACACATTTAACGAATTAGTCATTTAGAACACAAAACTAATAAATATTTCAGAGACAAAATATACAAATTTACTGAACATCAGGAGCCTTTCTTGGCAGTGGTGGAACGTCGCAAGCTAGCTTATTTTGGGCACATGGTGAGAAATGATTTGATTGCAAAGACTGCACTTCAAGGAACATTGGGGGATAGTCAAAGAAGAGGAGGGCAAAGATGAACCTGCAATGACAGCATCAAGAAATGGACAGAACTAAGTTATCATACACTTATACATCATGTGGAAGACAGAAAGATGGCGGGTTATATGTGCTAATTCTTCCATCAATACACCTCCATGACCCTAATGTGTCAAGGGTTATGTTATGTTGTGTAAAGTTATTGTGTTCTCTACATTGGAAGATCTGGAAGGTAAAGATATTCCACTATTATTTTAATTAAATAGTTAAGGGAGAAATGAAAAAAGACTATAGAATATAGATAAAACTCAAATCTTGCCATTGAACAATCCTATTAGGTTTTGGAAATGAATATAACCCAAGCAAAGAATAAACCATCTGACCAGAAATGCTGCTATATTACAGACAAGGCAACATTGTGTTAAAAAATACTATACACAGTTCATTCAAATTGGATACATCTGCCTGAAAGGTGAGAAACCAAGAGTCTGCATACAAATAAGCCAGATCTGTAAAACAGATGTGCATACAAACATCAAGTTCTGGAAATCCAGAGCTTTCTGAGTGAGTTGACAGCTGGTGAATGCTAAGAAAAAGAAGAAGAGTATAAGATAAAATATCAACATTTTAACTGTTCGATTGTGTATCTAGGAAATGTAATATAACCAGATGGAAGAGCAAGCAAAGCTACATTCGTTTTAATTATTGAAAAGGTCACATGCATATTCTTTATGGAATGTTGCAGTAAACCCTGGCGGAAAGTTCTAGTTGTTGGCTGCCTATGTTTTGCTGGGCAATTTTATGTTCAGTAGTTTGCCATTGCTTTCTGAGCTATTCTCTGTTTGTACCATTATTGAAATCAACATTAAGTGGCCTGCTGCTGTATTAAATCTGGTTTGTCACAATGATGAAACTATGTTCATAATTCCTAAACCAACTTTAGAAATGAATAAGATGAAAATAAGTGCTGAAACATTTGGAATTGTTACCACTGCATCACAGTCTTGTCGCTATAATCATATGAAGGTTGTGTGCCTTCTGCCTGTAAAGAAAGATGGAGAGAAACAGTTAATGCACAGATTATCATATGTTTGATCACATATGCTTGCTTACAAGATGCTGCTGTATAGATACCACTGTCATAAGTTGACACCTGAATAGAGATGATCATGTCCAGAGCACCACCCCAGAACTGTCATGGTCTCTAGAGGAGGAGAACAAATAGATGTATCAGATTAAACTGGAAGAATATGGAGGCTCTGTTGGAGAAAATACAGCAGAGCAGAGTGAACTGGAGTTATGGCTGATCATGAGCTCTGTTGATGTTTTTGCTCTATGTTTAATCCACTAAAGGTATTGCATTCTTAATCAGATGAAGACCACAAGGGAAAGAGGTGAAGAATTAAGCAAATTTCTGAAAGATGATGTTAACACTGCAGTCATTTTTTTTTTTGCAACAGTAGTGTCCCTTGTGACCATATATGGAGGTCAGTAAATAAGGAGGTAGAGATATTTATTATATTTAACAGTTGAATATTTTTATCTAATTATAGAAGCACCAGACAGATATTAAACAGAGGTGTATTGCAGCGGAACCCCATCATGGAGAACAGTGGTGCCGTGTTTCCAAAGACATTCGTAACTGGCGCCTGAAGACTGAAGAGCTTCTACCACTAGTTGCCAGATCTCTTCCGGTGCCAACATAACCATCTGTTTTTTAATGTTGTAATATTTCTGTTTTCAAGTAACATACGCAACAGACCATAATGTCAGCTCTGGTATGTTATATATACACACACATATATATATATATACACACATTTGAAGAACTGTTATTGAGCCTAAGCATGAACTTCAAGCATAGAGCAGGGTACTGTCTTTTTGAGATAGGATCTGGAATGGCAAAGGATACCCATCCAGCACTAGTCTCAAATGATATGAAACAGGTAGTTTAAAGGCCATAGTGTCCAATGGAGGGTTTGGTTATTTCCCTATGGTTTTATTTATTAGTTTATAAAAACTGATAATTACTTAAAAAATACAAAGAGGCCAACAATGAACGTCTACAAAGACACATAGTAGGACAGGTAACAAATGTATCCTTTTTTAGGCATGCAATAGCAGCTGATAGAAATTTTAAAAAGAGAATAAAAATTGTCGAAATATATTCAGTTTTTCCATGAGGAAAATATTAACATCTGGAGATTGAACAAAACATTAAAAGAAGAAAATTGTCAACTGTAATGTACTCTTGACACTACCTATTTGGCAGAAACCTGAGCAGTGAGGATAGATAGTTTTATTAAATTCTACAAATGTGGGGCGGTGTCCGTGGCTAAAGCGTTGCGAGTCCGACTCGTAATCCACCGTACCGCGATCGAAACCCACTGCTGGCTGCGTGGATTTTTATCGTGGTATGGGACGTCGCAGGTTGACCCAGCCTCAAATGGGTACCAGGATGGCTGTCCTGGTGAAGTAAAGACGGCCGGCGTAATGCTGACCACATTACCCTTCGAGTGCCGATTGGTCTGTAAAAATATGGGTGCTCTTCCCATATGTCTGATGTGCCTACAGGCGTGAAAAGGGATCTTTACTTACTTTTACTTACAAATGTGGATACACAAAAGCATAAGTCTATTAATGAAAACCAAGCAAGTTGAATACAGAGCTCCTCTAAATATTAGGAATGAAATAAAAGTTGTTGAAAGATATTTCAAAAATAGATAAATAAAATATTATTTTCGGCCATATTTAAATGCATAACATTCATAAAAAACTAGATATCTAAAGGCAAAGAATAAATTAGTAGTACAAGTAGCAGAATAACACTAAGATCAGTCCGAGAGAGTATACAAACAAGGTGAGAATTGAGAGGGGGGGGGGGGGGGGGGTTATTATTACAGCCTATTATCACCAAGGTGTCACCAGATTATTTTTTTCAACCTGGAATGACCATATTAAAGTTTTCTATCTATAACCCAATTATTTTACTATAACATGTTTGCAAACATTTGACTAGAGAACACGACAGACACACACATTGTGATTGTAACTGACTCAGAAAGCATGCTGAGGAAGATTAGGACAGGTATGCTTCGTGCAGAGTGGCATGCCTCACTGCGGAAGACACGGGTGAGGAGTATTGTGTGGAATTTTTTTACCAGGGTATGCCGGTGTGTTGGAAAATGAACAGCTGAACGGACTGGCTGGCTCTGCACAGCTTGGTGGAATACTGATGCATGATAGGGCAGACGTGGTTAGTGCCTTGTGAGAGAGCTTGTACAGTTAGGAGCAGATTGATCACCACAGTGTGGTGAGATTGATGCAGTTGGGAGTGACGAGAGCTTTTGGCAGATGCTCGAGACTCAGAGGAAAGGTAGGACGGACGTTTAATCGGAATGCTTCTGGCACCATTAGTATCAGAACTCTTCGCTGGCTGCTGAAGATGGAGACGGAGCGCTTATGGGAATGCCCCGAGTGCTGTGATGTCGGTTCTTGAATCAAATCAAATCAAACAGTTGAAATAAAGTATTTATGTTTGAGAAATACAGATTTGCATGTTCTCATCAAGAAATTGGGGGGGGGGGGGGGGGGGGGGTGTGGGGGGGGGGGGGGGGGTGTCAGTTGAATAGAAAGAGACCTAGGTGTATTTTATCTGATTTGTTTCCTTTCTGTGTACATTAAATGTTTGCTTATTGATGTTTCCATTTCCTACCCATGAACCCATGGATGATGCTGATATTATTAATGCCCTCAGAGAATTGGGAAGGGTGGAGGACTTTCGAGATACAGCGATTCCACATTGCTCACCAGAATGAAAGACTTGGGAGTTGAGATTGCAGCGTAGCCAAAAATGAGAGACACACTGGGCGTACAAAAAGACATATCTAGTTAACTAAGAACTGGTACTATTAGCCACCAGACATAGGGTTTATTTTATGGGAAAGATCTGAGCACCTGTGGACATGTCCGGAGTGCAATGATCATATCCCAACTAACTAACTAACCATTTCTTACTTTTTATTATAAATAAATAAAATACCATTATTATTACCATGGACATCAGTTTTAATGTGTGTCCTGAATGCAGATGTCTCATTTACTTGAAATAAACTAGTTTCTGAATAAATAACTTGTTCGTGTTTTAACATGTACATTTGTCCTTAATACTTATCCCCACCAATAAAAGTTAACCTGCATACACAGTTAGCACCAAGTAATTTTGGCTTTCTTAAAACTGGATTTTGCAGCTCTTGTAAACCATTCTCGAAAATTAGATTTTTTACAAAACCATAGATGATGCGGTTAGTTTGTGATGAAATGTTCTAAAAGATATAATAAGCACAGCAAAATTAGTTAATGGACAGATATCCTCAATGCACGTCAGACAAGTCCATAAGTGCTACGATTCCATCTTCAGTGTATCCTTCAGCATGTAGCGACTGATAACACCAATTCTATGTTTGTTTACTATTCTTCTTTGGCTACCTATATGGTGTTCATGTATGGAGACACCTCTTTTGACCTGAAGTTCTTGTAGTCTTTTGAGTGTTGCCGATTCAACATCGTCTCATGTTTCATCTTCTCGTTCTGCCTCCTTGAGAGCATTGAGAATGCGACCATTGCTTTTCTTCTACTTACCGTGGCCTTGCCACCAAGCCAATCCGCTCGTTTACTACCTCTTATGCCAGAGTATCCTGGCACAAAAATGAAATTGAATTCTTTTCGAGCCACAGTCATGTGTTGTGTACATTCAAAAATTGAAGTCAAAACTAAAAGGAACGAAAAAAGTTATGTCAAATCGACTACTTACCGATAATTGTATGCCTTTATGTCTGGAAATTATGGCACAGACGTTCTAAATAGTGCCCGAAAATCTGCTGTTTGTGGCTGTTACGCCATTGAAACTCGGATAAGTACGATCGGAACAAGGCGCGGCTCTTACCGCAATGGTAACGCAGCTTTCTTTTTAGTAGCATCCACAGACCGGCTATCCTCCGAATAATGGACACAAAAGATGTCGACCAAAAACAGGGCCTCAGTCGCGTGTCAATTGTGAACTTCCAGTGACTTAATTTGCAGTTTTCCGGCGATTACTGCCTGCCAAGAGTAGCCCCCACGCCGCATGAGCAGCATGGATTGGGGCTGAACTAGATGGCTAGGACTTACAGGCAAAGCTGCAGGAGATGCAGAAGCTGCTGCTCGTGGGTCCCAGCCATCTAGTTTAGCTCCATACGCGCCGCGCGTAGCGGCATGCGGGAGACTCTCGGCGGCGAGTTTAACTCGGCGGTTTGTTCCGTTTCTCGGAATTGTCAACAGACACTAATCCTAGTTTTCCCGCAATCTGCTCGTGACCGCTAATGCGCAATTGACACGTGACTGTGGCTCGAAAGGATATTTTGCGGCCGCCATCTTTACCGACCGTTAGTCGGAGGATAGCCGGGATATCAAAACGCCGTCCCCAGATACAGAGCAACAACAACAGCCGCCGCCATCGTTATGTCTAAATCCGGCTCTGTGGTCCCAAAATATTGGCTTACCCAATTGAAGTAGTCTGAGCCATACCCCGTATTTGCCTATATGGTGGTGAGGAGGGCATTGTTGGGGCATGACCGACGTAGGTCATGGGTGGGGTGAAAAAATCTGTTGTCAACTTAAAATATTTTTTTTAAGGTGGGGGGGGGGGGGAGGGGAGTGGGGTTGCTAAACTCACCGTGCTGTTCAAGTGTACCAGGCATCAGAGGCGTGATCGCCTGCGCAGTTAGTTCGTGATAGCGCTGGATGATGGTGGAAGCGAGTGCAAAAGGTCATCGCTGTGCATGAAGTTAGGAAAAGGTGTTTCTGGAGTTTCACGGCTAACAGTGATGTGTACGGATCTGGCGAGATGCGTGGCCGGTCGCTGGGCTGGAAGGAATCCGTAATTATCCAGTTAGTACGCCTCAGTGAAACCACACAACAGCTAGAGGCTGCTGGGGTTGGTTCTGCAACGCCCTTAAAGGATACGCAACTAACCTTACCCCTTAATGATGTACATTTGTGTCTATGGTTGTGTGTGTATAGGTCTGCGTGAGCATCAGCGAGTGTGTGTGTCTGCGATTGTGTTTGTGTGTCTTCAAGTTTGTCTGTGTGAGTGTATCTGTGTGTGCTTATGTGTGTGTGTGCATGTATGTGTGTCCGCGTGTGTGTGCCTGCGGGTTTGTGTGTGTCGCATGTGTGTATCTGTGTGTTTGTGACTTTGCGCGTATGTCTGTGTGTGTGTCTGCGTTTTTTTTTCTGTAAGTGTGTGTGTGTGTGCATGTGTGTATCTGTTTGTATGTATGTCTGTCTGTGTCGGACTGTTTGCGTTAGCACTTCGGATGGCTACCGTATGCTTTAAATGCGTGTGTATGCTAGACATGCATGTATGTATGCATGCATGCATGTATGTATGTACGTACGTACGTATGTGTGTATGTATGTATATGTTATACAACACTTTTTAATAAAATACAGAACATGAGCCACGACGGGCTCCATCTGTAAATAAAGTCGGCCGTGCATGGACCTTATTCTGTATGCTGACCACGTGAGTTGAGCGGTTTGCTACAGTGCTTTTGGCACCAACGCCGTTTCCTAATATATTAAACGATTAGCATTAACAACGATTGTAAAATATCAGCAATACTCAAAATGGCTTTGGCAGCGGCATTTAATGTAGAAAGATTGG